GCCATGTCCGCAAGATGCCCGCAGGAGCACGGCTGCCTGCTTCTGCAGGACAGAGCGGTGTCTGCCATCGTGCTGTTCCTCCTCCTCCTCACCCTGCCCTGACTGAATTGGGAACGCTCCCTGCTTCTACTTCGCAGTAAAGTCCTGACTCCGTCAACTCAGAAGCGATACGGGACTTCATAGTAACGCCTTAAATCCAACCTGCCGTCTGCTGCGGCCGGCTCAGCCCCCGGCAGACCCTGGCTACGTACACAGCGTTTCCTGCAAGAGGGAGATGGGAGACTGATGGCGAACGGCTGTTGGTTCCACACACCAACTGCTTTCACCCTGGGAGGCTCCCAAAAGCATTGCTGCAGCATCACTGCCAAGGAAGACTGCAAATCTTAGGGCTCTCTTCCTCTGCTTCACCCCTTAAAAAGCACAGAAAGCCAAGAAACAAGTTGCTGATTCAGCTCAGAATCAGAAGGTTCTGGGCAAGCGAACAAACTCCCCCACCGCACGCCTGCCGCGCAGCACAGCCGGGCTGCAGCCAGCACAGGCCGTTTCCACCCTGTCCCTCAGCACTGCTGGGAAGGAGGGCTAACGGGGCTCGCAGACCCCCAGCCCATACAGCAGCCAGCTGACTGAGCCTACCGATGCTGCCTACGGCGGCACGAACGTCCCCCAGCCCCTCCGGAGCGTGCGAAAGACCAGGAAACGCTGAGACACTTTGAGACTGACTTCGACTCTCGGAAAGAAAAACCTTCCCCATCCCACAAACGGTGCAAAGCAAAGCTGCAGCGCTCTTTTACAGCAAGAGGTCAGTGATTGCCCAGGACAACCCGAGCTCGGGAACGGCCCCCCGCACCACGAAGCGCTGCTGCAGGCCAGGGAGGAGAGAGCAGCGAGACGCTCCGTGAGCCGCGCAGAAGCGGCCCCCGCGAGAGCTGGGATGGGAGGGCCCTCTCCAAAGGGCTCCTCGCGCCCTGCCCAGAGCGAAATGGCAGCAGCTACGAATTAACAGGCTCCTACAACGGGAAACGAGCTGGATACAAGGAATTAACCAACAATGAAAGATGAGTGGGATCTCTTTCTCTTACCTGCCCCCGTATCTCCAGCCTTCTGCTCTGAGGCTGCAAATGCAGATCGTTCAAAGGACAGGCAAGCTTGCTCGAACCCAAACCAGTCCCGAGCAGTTTCCCCAGTGGATTTCTGTGCTCAAGCAGAGCTGAGACGAAAGCAGGGGAGGGTAGGAGGGGAGTGGGATGCCGAGGCCAAAGGCTGATGACCAGCTGCAGGAGGTTAAGCAAAGAGCAGGAAAAAAAAGGCAATGTTTAGTTTGAAAAAGGTTTTAAAGTTCAATCTGACAAGGGAAAGTTCGATCACCCACCAGTGCCAGATGCCTTCAGTTCCTGCCAACAGGAGATCGACTGCTCCTGCCATGAAAACAACCCCCAAACTTTCAAGAGTTCAAATAAAAATGTGATGGTCTCACTTCAGTACCTTGCAGCTCAGCAAAACGCTTCCCTCTGCCCCAAGCCCCACCACCCCCCATTCCCAAATAGGCTCAAGTTGGGAGAAACGGCCCCATTTCACACTCTGCGGTTCCAAACTGCGCCCATCCCTCCACTTGCACAGCTGGAAAGCTGAGGATTAACAGCATCTGCCCCCGCCGGCAGCCCCTGCCCAGCAGTATTAGAAGCAGGGCTGAGCAAGTTTCCAACCTAGGATGCAGTTGCTCTGCAGATGCAACAGCGTTTTCTCCTGAAAACCAAAACCCAGGAGCTGGCTGGCTCAGCAGGTGCTAAAGCTGCCATGTTACTGGCCCCCAGTAAGAGCCCACGTCTTAATGGGAAACGCAACTGCAAACGGGTTTTGGGGAAAGTGAAAGCCCGTGCCAAACCAGGAAGGGCTGTAATGAAACAGGACGGAGATTGTGGAAATAAACACACGTGAAGAAAGCATTATGCGCTCTGCACCCACTTCGCTTCTGCGGGTTTCCCTCCATAGCCTGGGACAAGCGCTGCTCTTGAAAACTGCCTCTGCCCAACATGCTACCAGCCCTGCTCTCTCATCAACTCTGTCATCGGGGAGAGCTTCAAAAGCAAGCACGAAAGCTACACAGCCCCTCCTCACCCTGCCCAGCAACGTGCACACCAACGCCCGCTCCTGGGAATTGCTTCCAGCCTGACCGCAGATCGGCCAGAGCCGCAACGCCAGCGGGCGAGCAACCCGCGGGTCGGGTATTTGTAACCTGCAGGAGGCGAAGCCCCCTCCCCCCGTGAGGAAGGACCCGCACACCCTACCTCGTGGCTCCAACCGGCTGGCGGTTTGGTTGCCCAAAGTCACTCGTACACTTGCAGGTCCCGGGGTCTTGGGAGTGAATCGGGATTCCCCAGAGCCGGCAGAGCGCTGTGGATCCAAGCAGAGGTTCCCAGTCGCCCAATGCTTAGCGGCAGTTCAGCGCAGTAAAGCCAAGGGCAAACACCTACGGTATTTACACATCCCATACGCCTCCAGCTCACGCGAACGAACTCTCACCAGCGTGACAAAGCACACGGGTACTGCGACCGCATGCTGGCTTCGCTGCGCGGGAGAGGCCAGACACCCAAAACTGAGCACGGAAATGTTTCCTGCAAGGGTGGTGGCCCTGTTAACAGCGAGGTGAATTCCCAAACTGACACGGTAGTGCTGGAGGGATCTGCAAGCTGCACAAGCCAGACCCTTTAGGGTGACTGACAGATAGACAAGGGCAGTACAGCGGTGGCAGTTTACTGCTGCTTCAGCTCAAACAACCCAGCACTCACGCCTGGGCACAGCATTCCCCAAGGAAGCATCCCAAATGACGAGTGCGTTAATACAAATCGTTAGCTGCCTCGTCTGCTCTAATAGGAAACGTTTTTCTCCCAAACCTGCTGTCCACAGACCCAAAGCAGGGACCAAAGCATAAAGCACCAACGCTCTAAGCCCAGAGCGAGAGAAATCAAGCATCATGCCTCAGTTGTCTTGCCAACAGCCCAGGGGCTGGGAAGTCAGAGCTGACAATCGCAGGGGGAGGTTACAGAAA